CGGACCCTACCTTCATGTGTTTGCGCAGCGAGCTGGGGTGCGTGTAGGACTTGTCGCACATCTTGCAGAGATAGGGCTTGTCCGAGGTGTGCACGTGCATGTGTTTCTTGCGGTCGCTACTGTTGGCGAAGCGCCGGTCGCAGCCCTCGAACTCGCACTGGAAGGGCTTTTCCCCTGCAAAACACAGCGGGGTTACCCACGGCCCCTGGGAACAGGCCACAGGTCCCTTCCCCCTGCCCCATGCACGGGGGAGCACCATCTGCCCGGCGCTTGCCGAGGCGCCATCTCTGCCACAACACACCCGGGGCCGGGCCAGGCCGGGCCCAGAGGCTGGCACCACCGCCCTGCGTGCGGATGGGCTGCGGGGGCCGCGGAAAGGCCCGCACCTCCCAGGATGCAACATCCTGCTAACCTGTAACCCTTGGGCCCGCAGCACAGGGAGGGCGGGGCGCCTGCAGGGCGCATCTTGGAAGTAAACACACGCACACACACATGCTCAGGCCCGCAGGGAAAAGGACAAGCCTGCAAAAAGCCGCGGGTCATCCCTGCACATTGCTCCCCGGTGCCAGCCCTCCAGGCGCTCGGAGCGGCGGGGGGGGGGGAAATCCCACCCTCCCCCTTTCGGGGGAGCGGCGGGAGGTGAGAAACTCCAGCCTTCCCTATTCGGAGGGGAAGCGCTGAACATCCAACTCCATTAGCACCTCAATCCTCGCTTCCAGCCGGCCATCCGCTCCGACACAATGCTTTGAGTGCGGGCACCTCATGCAAATACATTCCTTGAATTTTAAACCTTGTTAAAGCTCGTCTCTCACCTCGCATCCCTGCTTGGCACTTCAGGAAACAATGGGCCTATAGATGTGCCCCGGATCCGAGTCAATATTTAGAGTGGAAGTTGCTAAAATATTTGCCTGCCTTTTATGAAGCAGTCTGGCACCATCCGAGCTGGGAGTAGTAGCAAATGAATAATATATGAAGCAGGAGGATGCCTTGATTTTGTTCCTGTTCAGCTCACGCGATTTGCCACCAGGACGCGCGTCCTGCCCTTCTCTCCTGTCTGACCTGGTTTCTGTGTGCGCGCGCGACTGAGTGGAGCGAGTGTGTGTGCGTGTGCAAGTTCCTGAACCTCAGATCCTCTGTCACCTAGTACATAATTTAATAAACGGTGGCGAAACCACCTCAAGTAAGACTTTTTTTTCCCCCTAACGAGGAAATTTTATTGCCCTGGCTCCCACCATTTAAAATTTAATGGGCAGCCTTCCCAGGAAGGGACAGTTGGCCGCTTGCTCCGAGATGTATATCAAGCCCACATCCACGCGTACACACGCCCCGAAACCAGGCGATGACAGTCGGGCAGGGAGTGCATCCTGCCCCATCCATGAGCCCTCCGCGTTTGAGCGGAATGAATGAATGCAGCCGGCCTCGCCTGGCACAGGGAGAGGGGAAGAGTGCTTCGAGCCTCGGCACACTTCCACGCTCCTGATCAGCACGATTAAAGGGGTGCATAAAACAGCCTTGCGAGGAGAGAAGCGAGATGTACATATATAGATCTAATAGATATAAATCTATGTAGATCAATATCTATATAGATCGAGAGAGAGAGAGAGAGAGGTGGATAGATGATAAAAAATAACAAACGACAATAAGCTGACAACGATGGTGATAGTGATGATGAGGATGGTGATACCGACCCCCCCCAGCCCGCCAAGGCCAAGAGTGGCAGGGTGGCGTGGCAGCCTGGGCACACGAGAGCCTGTCCCCCTGCCTCCGAGAGCACCGCATCGCCCGAGCGAGCTGGCCCCGCGCTCTGCGGCCGCGGCCGTGCAGCCCGCCTGCTCGGCATTACCTGTGTGCGTCCTTTTGTGGATTTTTAGGTTCTCGGATCTGGCGAAAACTTTCCCGCAGCCGGGGAAGGGGCAGGGGAAGGGCTTCTCCCCCGTGTGCACGCGGATGTGGTTGACCAGTTTGTACTTGGCCTTGAAGGGCTTGCCCTCGCGGGGGCACTCCTCCCAGTAGCAGACGTGGTTGCTCTGCTCGGGCCCTCCGACGTGCTCCACCGAGACGTGGGTGACCAGCTCATGCATGGTGCTGAAAGTTTTGTTGCAACTCTTTTTGGGGCTGCTCAGCTGCTCGGGGTCGATCCACTTGCAGATCAGCTCCTGCTTGATGCACTGCTGCCGCATGTAGCGGAAAAAGGCCCCGGGGTGGTGGTGGTGGTGGTGGTGCGCTGCCATGTTCATGCCCATGTTCATGTTCATGGGGCCGTACTGGTTGTGCAGCTGCGCCGCGGAGTAGGGGTCAGTCCTGGGGCTAGAGACCTGGCGGTACTGGTCCGAGCGCGCGAAGACCTCCCCGGGCAAGCCCAGCCGCATCTGCCCGTTCAGCACGTTTTGCGAGGGGTGCGGGCCGTGCTGCTCGTGGATGCCCGGGAAGAGGAGGTGGCTCTGAGCGTCCGTGTGCGGGTGATGCAGGCTGCCGGCCGGCGCCAGGAAGAGCCCGTGCTGCCCGCCGCCCGGCGCCGAGTCCCCGAAGCCCCGGCTGCGAAACAAGAAGTCCCGGGTGGAGTTGAAGGGCGCCCCGGAGTAGGAGCCGACGTGCGCGGCGTGCGGCCCCAGCGCGGCGGCCGGGTAGCCCGGCGCCTGCGAGCTGAACGCCGAGCTCTGCCCCGGCGACAGGTCGTGGGCCCCGGGGTTGAGCTTGAAGGCGCCCATGTGCGCCGCCGCCGAGTCCACGAAGCTGTTCTGCGCCGCCAGGCTCAGCTCCCGCTCCTGCATCTCCGCCGCCGCCGAGGAGTG